TGGTCAGGTACAGGGATGGTACTGAGAATAAGTGAAAAAAGCAACCTATGTCCAAGGAAGACTTTAAAAGACTTACAAAAAACTTGGAGAACTGTGGGGGGTGTTTGTTTGTTTGTTTGTTTGTTTTTTAAATGCACTGCATTCTGCTGAGCTGCGCTAAACAACATCCTGTACAACTCAAAATTGTTAAGTGTTCAAGACTTCAGTGTGTTAGCAGCCCATGTAACATAGTTACATAGTGATAGTTGTGATAGCATTTGTAAGCATGTTTTTTTTATATATATATATATATTTTTATTTTTTTTTTGGCAATGCTGTTAATACATTACACTATTATTTCCTCACTATGTCAGTAACATATTTCCAAGGATGTTTTAATATTGATTTTCTTTGTTGTCCTCTAGCTTGCTCTGGGGCTGAGGAACATCTTCACACAACCAATCCCTAACCATCAACCAAACCATGTGACCCACCTGTGACTGGACGAAATGGACTTCTTTTGCTTTCCCCTCTAAAAATAATAATGATCAGATGACATTTGTACATTGTTTCTCACTACCTGTAAAGTAATGATTGGATGTTATCCATTTCCATGTAGTCTGTAACTATGGTGCATGTACAGAGATGTGTGAACAGGTTTGTCCCTTGAAATACACGCTGATTGGACTATCAGTTGGAGGGTTATGTTTTGTTAATGCAAAGCACTGATGTTTGTTTCCTGTTTTTTCTTAGTTTTTATTTGTAATTTAACATTTCTGAAAATAAATCTTCAAAGAAATGACTCTTTTCTTCCTTAATATAAACAATCCAGTCGCTTTCATGCAGAAGAAACTGGTAGCAAATATTTTACTGAGCAATTATAAAGTTTTGATATATTAAATGTATCGGTCTTACATGGTAATGATGAGTCATAGTCATAGATTAACAGGAACATTTTCCATCCACCTTTAAAAGTGTGTATATAAATGTGTTGAGTTGACTGATCTAAATCTAAGTGTCAACGTTCATGCAGTTGCAGAATGCGCTGCTGCGTTGAAATGTGTGAAATGTCGGGGAAAGAATAAGTCCTTGCTTTTTATGCAAATGATTTTTTTTATTTCAGCATATGAAAAACAATAAAGTCACTGTACTGTAAAATTCTTTAACAATAAATAGTAATCAGCACCAGAAATGCTAATTACAAGTACAGTGCAAATTGTATTTACACTGCATTTCTCCCGCACAATAGATCTTTCTCCAATAAATAATCTCTACCAATTATAAATAAGATAAATAAGAATAGCACAGCAGGTGAATCTACATACACAGTATGTTGCTGTGGGGCCTGCTGTACCCAGAGGAGTCGGTGCACTTGAAGGAGCATGGTTATGATCTTGAGAAAGTAGGAGTGTCAAAACCATCCAGTTTTCCCTGAGCTATTATTTCATAACTGAATGTAATTTGAGCATTATTCGTCTTTTTAACAACTGGTATCTGCTGATTGGTTCAGTTTCTTTTCCATTCTACAAACAGCTCTTTTCCCCTCACTCAGGAATGCTTTGAGGGCTCTCAGGATGCTGTAGGCGTGCAACTTGCTGTGGTAAGGATCTGGGCTGTTGACCTCCTTGAGAAGCTGCTCCTCCTCACTGCTGGTCAGCGCTGTGACTTGATTGCTGTTTTTCATCTGTGGGTCAGAAGAGATGGTAGAATGAGGTGTTATTTAGGAACAGGACGCAGAAGTGAAAATGTGACAGTATTAAGATAACAGGCATTCTGGTGAAATAGTGATGTAGTATGAGAGGTGATGTATTTAATTGAGATTTTGTGCTACCTATCACTTCTGCTCCTCTCCCATTTACAATAGAAATGTTGTTACTGGGCTTTGTGACAGCTAAATGTAGAGAAGTCACCTTTTTTGTGAATTTTACTTTTAATATCTGTATGTAGTGGATTTTTTTTTTTTCTGAAGTAAATCTACTTTATTCTATCAGTCTTCCTAACATTACTGACAGGAAAAACCCAAGAGACTGCTGCAAAGTCAAATTTGACGTAGTTAAAGACGCGTGTCAAACCCACCTTTCCTTTCACCATGCCGGCCAGGTCGATCAGAGTGCCGATGTTTGACGGAGCGTCGGAGAAGTTCAAACTGCCGCGGTACTCCTTCTCTACGTGCTTGAGTAAAACCGAATAGATGAGCAGACCCTTGGCCAGCGTCTGGAGACAAACCTCCTGCACAAAGGAGAGAAGAATAGCCCGAGTTATCGAACTAACCCCAACCCATCCACCGACCTTTGTTAGTGACAGCAATAGAAAAAGAGTAAGGAGCTCTCACCTTTCTGAACTTGGTAATATTGCAGTGCTTCGGGATAGAGGCGGGGGTGTGGGAGTCCAAAGCTTGATCGCGATTCTCCAGAGTCTGGAAATGGTGCTCAAACTGATAGAAAATAATTCAAATACAACTTAAATAGGCTGGAAGTATTTTAGAGTCCCAGGGGTCCGAGAGAACCCCAATCGGACTTGATGACACCTGTTAATCATAGTTAATGAGCAGGCCCTTACCGCTTTCTCGTATTCTTGAGCTGAGTCAAAGAGTGTCCTCCATATATTAAAAGGCTTGACAGTGGACATCTCCGCCTCCTCCGTCTCCTCACCTGAGAAGTCACCTGCCACACTTCTGTCTTCAATCGGAGCGCCGGAAGCGCAGAGAAGCAGAGCGGCCAGCATCACCGCAGAGAAAACGTGCACATCTGCTAGGGGAGACAGAACAAGAATGAATGAATGAAAAGAGGAAGATATGCAGGAAACTCGCGCACCACAGCCTGCAAATTACTTACTGAATATAGAGGGCATGGTGCGCTGCTGGGAAGCACTTGTCAAGTTTCCGCTGATGCTGAAGGCTGCCAGGGCCAGAAGGAATTGGCTTGTATCTGAGATGCGCTGTTTTTATACATTCCTCAGACGAATGGGATTTTCCAATCCCGACTTGCAAAACGGAATTAACAGTAACTGCGTCATGAAGATTTGATGAAGATTATGAGTGTCTTCAACAGGACCAGTTGATCCTTATTATTATCATTATTATTATTATTACATTTTTATAAATTACTGTTATTATTATTACTGTTGTTGGTGGTGTTTGATTGCTATTATTGTTTTGTGAGAATTTATATATATATATTATATGTATTATATATTAAATACATATATATTATATGTATTTATTATTATTTATAAAAGTGCCATTTAAATAATTTTTTAAGCAAAGATTGGAGAAGTTATAAAGCACAGAGAATCATCATGTAAAAAAATCCCTATGATATTTTCAGCTCAAGAATTTAAAGGGAAAATCCTTCTAAAACCAAACATTTGCATAGCAGCATTCCAGTGCATTTAGCTTGTAGCAACTTTATATATCAAATGAAATAATGAATAAAGAAATAAATGAATAAACAATGCGTAAATACATACAGACATACATAAATACACTGCACAAGCAGATGAAATGATCAATAGATGTAACCCCATTCATTATCTTGTACAGGAATTATACATTTATTTGCATCACATGAAAATGTGTCTAAACATATACATGTACAGTTGTAACCAATGTAATGGGAGTTATCTGAAAAAAAAATACACACTCTCTTGTGTTAGATGTGTGAAAGCAAAAGGAAAGGTTAGAGATTCACGAGGTAAAGCTATGATTTGGCAACTACTTAAGTACATTTTGACAATTGGTCTGCCAAAACTGGGGTGTCACTGAACATAGTATTTATCAGACAATCAACTGAGTACTAACATGCATTTGAAGTTAGAAGGGGTTCTGCCTTATTTTCCCTATAGAATAATTGTGCCCTATATATCTGATAATATCATGCGTCATAATAAATCAGATAACAATTTACAGAACAGCAATTTTTTTCATACCTTTAATACAGTTTGCTTTACATACTTTCAGCCATAATAATTTTAGAAAGACTTTAAACATTAGCAGTTTGCCATCTTTGATATGTACACATGTAGACTAATAAAATTTCTATTTATTTATTTAAAACATTAACATTTTATTTTGTATTACTATAAAATGGGGATTTCCCATTTTCAGTGAAAATACACAGTAAAAATCCTGCTAAATAAAATTGCTTTCTGTCTCTAAGGAAGTTGTGCTAAGTCTAGAAATTTCAATAGAGTGACCTCAGTGAAGTAGCTCGTGAAAGGAAGAACTGCTGAGAGATTTTACTGTTATCACGGACAAGTGTGTAACTAGCATATCCTGAAAATGCAATGATAAAGCATGATGACCTAAATATCACAAATATTTCCCATCAGCAGAATATAAAGGTTGGAAAGTTTAAAACCCATTAAATCATTTAGTGTTTTGATAAGACATGTTATTGCTCAGTGATGTTCAAAAACGACAGCTTTTCGAGAAAGCCAAACCTTTTGATAATAGTGGTGGGAAAGATTTGTAGCTATGCATCGAGTAGATTAGGCTGTGACTTCACAAAAGGCCACTCAGAGGTTGTTAATGTTACATTAGACTCACATCCAAACTTTTAGGAAACCTTTTGATTTCAGCTTCTGCGGGAGAAAAAGCAATCCAAGATAAATCTACTTCAGATTAAATATAAGCCTTAT